ACGTTTTGGAATGAATTTATATGTTTACATCAGAATCTCATTATGCTAATACACAGTTGGACTCTCACTGCTCTCCTCTGGATTGGTGAGACCACACCTGGAATACTAAGTACAGTTTTGTCTCCTTATTGAAGTCAGGAGATATTTGTCTTGGAGGCAGTTCAGACAAGTTTCACAAAACTGATTCCTAGGATGAAGGAGTCTTTTCTTATAAAGAAAGGCTGAGCAGTTTGGGTGATATTGAATGGAGTTAAGAAGAATAAGACGTGGTCGTATTGAAACATATGAGATTGACAGGACCTGATAGGGTAGATGCTGAGAAGACTTTTCATCTTGTGGGGAATCTAGACGAGGAGGTACAATTTTAAAAGAAGGAAGCTCCCACTTAACAGGAATAGGTGGAGGAATTTCTTCTCACAGTCATTGTGTATGGAATTCTTTTCCACAGGGCGTAGTCTAAGTAGACAATTTCAAATTTGAAAGATTTTTGACCAGGGAGTTAATGGTAGTGGGGGACAGGCTGGAAAATGGAATTAAAGCCACAAGTAAAGCAGTTATAATCTTATTAATTGGCTCAGCAGGCTTGATGGACAGAATGGTCAACTTCTGCTTGTATTTCAGAACATTTTCTGACTTAGCAAGGACTTTTACTAGCACGGTCCTATCGGCAAACAGCAGAGATCAAAAGAATAAAGCGTGAGATTTTGAGATTAATTTTTCTCAAGATTTGCATCTTAACTTGCAGCTTCTAAATGAACATTACATATAAAAATTTAATACGCTCAATCCCAGTTTGGAGATTTCCAAAGTGTGGTTTATACAACGGTAGTACTGGTTCGAGCATGGCAAAATCGACCACCTTGGCCATTTTAGTCTGTTACTGATGTTCAGCAAAATTGGGTAATGTTTAGCATGGTCTATTTTGGTGTGGAGTGACAGCATCCTCCAAGCTAATAGCAAACCAGACACTAATAGAAACAAGAAACTGGTGCACAATTAGCTATGATTTTAAAAGCAAATTCAAGGGACTTATAAATTTACATTTCCACACTGAACAGAATGTATCCAATAAGTGATTTCCATTTCAAAAAACACATTGAAAACAGATGTTAAAATCAACAAACCTTTCTTTTGTTTTACTGTTAGTCTTTGTTTTGTTTTACTAGTACAATTAGTAGGAAAGTTCAAAGCAAGAATTTAAGTCTACTCCTCTGGACACAGGTGTTCATTAATCTACAATTACTTCATGCAGAGCTAAAGTACAATTGTAATTATTACATTTAATTCCTGTTTAGTGAATAACCCATTTGTCATCACAAATTGTTGCAGCATGGTCCACCCTGAAAATGCTGGACTGGAAAGTATCAAGTTTTAAAAGCAGTTGCAAACATACTTATGATTTCACCATGAGCACTTTCCCTCCTGGAAGCAAAGAGAAAATACTCAAAGTACATTGTAGGCTTGTCAGGCTCTGAAAAGAGAAAACTTGCTTTGGACTGAGTTCTTTCATCAGAGTTCTAATGAAGAATCTACACTTGAAATGTTAAACTGCCTTTTCAGATGGGGCATACCTACTGTGTATTTCTAGCCTTTTATGTTTATTGCCTCACATTTCCAACTTTCTCATTTGTATTCCTCTCACTTCCACTATTATGTCTTCTGAAATTTATTATATTCATGGAGCTACAAATTGACACTTCTGTGGCTCCATATCATAATGACACAAAGAATCTTGCCAAACCATTAGGTTTGTGTGTCTAAGAGCAAGAGACCGTACACCTGGACAGATTGAGGGATCGATTCCAATTAGGATACTTTTGGAGTGACTTTTTTTTTTCTGAAGTCCAAAGTCTTAAAAGTCAGAAATTAATCTTTATAGAGACAGTTAGTGACCATACCATCCGCACAGTCACTGAGACCTACTCAGTACTGGGACAGTCTTGCGCAAAGTGATACATCTTGGCAGGCAATCATTCCTGTATTTAAAGAAACAAAAAGTGGTGCATGTGTTGACCCACTTAGAACTGATACAATCAGCTAGAATGTTAATCATTAAAAAATATTAATGCTTAAAATGGAGTTATTAATCTTGCCTGTAAGGCTACAACCTATACTGTTCACAAACTGATTTTTAAATGTTTTCCACATTACTCTACAAAAAGGATGATGGAAATCTGATTTCAAGGAAAGGTTACTCTTATGCACTGATTATTAGTGACATTATGGGTTTACATATAAGTAAGAAGCTAAGGTGAACAACCAGGGTCTGGAAATGAAATGTGACATCAAGGTGGAAAAGACTGAAAAAGGAACAGCGAGGTAAATCAGCACGTTCTGATGTGAAGCTTTGAGAGTTAAGTTTTAAAAGCATGAAGATGACAGAAAGATGGAAAAATCTTATGGGCAACTTGAACAAATAATGCTACAGGTTACTTTGGAAAGTGAGAGTTCAGGACAATGATTTTCACACAGTTGTGATCAAAAGCAAAAAACAGTTTGCTGAGCTTAGATGGACTCAGAAAGAAAGTTCAAAGCAGCACTGACAATTGTTATATTATTAAAATAATGGATGATCAGACTACAAATAAGACCAAGACCATTTTAAAAAGTTTGTTCATCGTTGTCTACTGCAAATAACTGAACACTAAATCACAAATGTTCTGCAATACAATGAAAGGTCTTTACAAAACTGGCTCATTGAATAGAGTTTGAATTTTTAGAAAGTTTATCCTGGTCAATACTTTAATATATTTCATGCCATCTTTACTTAATACAATTTCTAATATTAATCATCCTGACATTTCAAAATAAATAACGTAAGTATCAAAACACTGTGTAAATAGTAAATTGAGAAATTCTATTTATAAAATGAAGGATAATATATTGATAAAGCAAAATGAAAATGAAAATAAATCAAATTTGGAAACTCTTTTTGAAGGTAGATAAAATATTATTTAGTTATGTTTTTGTTCTTCTTGAAGCTATAAGTCAATTTAGTTTGCAAAGAACTTTAGTTTTATTTGAATTCTTTGAGTGTGACGTCACAATCACAGTTAACTTGTAGACGTTATACAACAGACATTTTTGGCACCATATAAACTGGTGGACCCCACCAGGTGGTATTACTGCACTTTTAACCTCATCAAACTTTCAAATCATAAAACATATTGTTACCAGACATTTTTTGGAATCCCTGGTTGATGCTAGTGTCAAGTTTCAGGAATGACAGGAACACAGAGAACTGGCATTTTTCTATATAGCAAAGTTTCTTTGAAAACATTGCAACTGCATTTAAAGTTTTTTTTAATGAATGTGACTTGATGGTTCACCTCCCCACACATACACACAAACAAAAAAAATCCCCACTTTCCTTCAATACGTTGTTGAACTTCTTATATCATGTCTGTCAGCCCACATCTCTTTGCCCCTTCCTGTACTGCCAGGTAATCAATTTGTCGTCACTCTTGGTAACCCCAGTAAAGTCATCAGTGAAATGAGTTACAGCTGTGAAACCATCAGGAAGAAGAACAGCCAAGAATATGCTGCTGATAGCACATTGAGGTCTCAAAGATGAAATATTAATGCACGATTTGTTTATCTGCAAGCTCACATCTTCCAGCACTGAGCTGTTAATTTTCTATCTGTGCAGACAACAGATCACTCAGTCATGAACTCTTCACAGCCATTACACAGAGACATTTTGATTAAGTATGCCTAATGTAGTGTATAGGAAAGAATGAAAACACTCAGCCTGCCAACTTTTGATTGACCATTAAGCCACTGATGAATGTGCCTGTCAAGGGAGAGACAATTACCTCAACAATGAAGAAAGTCTTCTGGAGGGTTATTTCTATAACAGTGACACATTTACCAGATTACAGCCATGCAAGTTGAAAGCGTGTAAACTAATAGCCAAGATTTCTTCATAATATATTCATCCCACTCTCCTTAAAGGAGAGGAAATGAAGGAAAAAAAAAACACATTTTAAAAAAACTAAACAAAATAATTGTGCATGTCTGGGCAAGAAAATGACAGGGGCAGGCGTTACGTCACTAGCACATGCGTTGCCATAGTGAGTGATTTATTGATATTTATCGAGAATGAATAGATCAAAGCCTGCCACATGACAGGTGATCAATCACGCGTCAAATCAAAGATGGCAATCGACTTTAAGACCAGTTAAGTGGGTGGATCCGGCGGATGAAAAATGAAGTTTTATTTCTGTGCCCCACACCACCAAATATCACAACTCTCAGGAGGAATGGTTTAAGCAGGCAATTTATTTCCCAGATTAGATTCCTCTTTTGTAAAGCTATGTTTTTGCTCTCTCTCTCTTTCTTTGAGCGTTGTGCGACTCGAGCTACAATCGGACAAAGTTCCAGCAGCACTTCCATGTTTTTAATATATGCCTCGGCCAGAGCTTGCGAAGTGCAACGCTCTTTCACAATTTCGTTGCTTTTGCTTTTTACCCTGACTGAGAGCAGCCTCTCGGCTTGCTCATTATAACCGCGGCGAGAGCACGAATCCCCTGCACTGCAAACATTGTATCAGATTACAGTGAAATATTGCAATCCATCCATCTTTTTTCTCTCTCTCTCTCTCTCTCTCGCAAGAGAGAGACACACACACACACAGGGAGAGAGAGAGAGACTGGATTCCCCTTGACTGACAGGGGACAAACACACACGGGTTACATTGTGTTGGACCAGGCTAAGCCCCCATCAGCATGAACTCCACACGCACACACAGAGCTAAGAGTCCCCGCTAACATCCAAAACAAAAATCCACATCCAACAACAACAAAAAAAAACTTCAGGCAAAAGAGAGAAGTCTCACCAAAAATCACTCCCTTCCACCCCCAGCTCAGGAGCTGTATCACAGAACGCGTTTGGACAGGAAGATTTTCTTGTTTTTTTATATAAATAAAAGAACACAATTGCTGAATAATAACAGTGCCGGGGTTAGAGCAGAGGTAAGATATTAGAAGTTGTTTGTTTACCTGCAGCCCGTTTGGGTGCTTGCTGCTTCCTCCGCGGCATGTTGTGAGAGAGAGTTTCAACTTGACTTTTCTTCAGGTGTGTGAAGAGGTGACGCTGAGGGGGAGGGAAAGGGAATCGGGGGGGTAGGTGAGGGAGGAGAGGACAGGGGAAGGGGGGGGGGATGCTCGGCGGAGGCGAGTTTCTCTATCTGCGTGTGTTAGGATGTGTAGGTGTTAAAGACAATATCCTAAATATTACAGAAAATAATGTATGGATGTGTCTGTCGTTGGTTGATTGCGGGAGGGAGGTGGTGGGGCGCGGGGGGGGGGGGGGGGGGGAGATGTGCTGGTGGCTGGGTTTGCACAGAAACGCACCACCCCCCCTGGCTGGACGATCGCAAGCTGTCGGTCCTGCCTCCCTCTCCCTGTCTCAGTCTCTCTCTCTCTCTCTCTCCTCTCCCCGAGCGAGCGAGCGCCTGTTGGAGCAGTGGCGAAGCGGAGCTGCTGCTGCTCTCGGTCGGTCGGTGGCTGGCAGCTTTTCCGGAGGGACTGGGCTCAGTCTCACTCGCACAGACACGGGTAAGCGATAGAAGCGAGCATCGATCCCCTCCTCCTCCCTTCTGCTCCTCCTTCTGGCAAAGTCAAATGCAATCTATAGCAGCCTCATCCTTGCATTTGACAGCATCTGGAACAGTGAAAAATGAAAGCAGAACAGAAATCTATCAATAACAAGGCGCTGGGTATTTGTTAACGACAATAGGAACAATGCATACACAATGACAGAACTATGAATTCTACCTGACCTGGGAATTAGATGAGCATTTTCCACTCACATTGTACACATGCATCTATCTATTCTGTGTAAAATGATTCCAAAAGCATTCTCTGAAACAGAAAACTGACCCGCGGTATAAACTTTTGAAACTGTCTCAGTTTGTGGCGACATTTGATCCCGACAAATACCATTTCTGTCAACTTTCTTTTTGCGAAAGCTAGTTTCCCATTTACGGTGCGCAAGGAAATGTTTACAGAAAACAAGGCAACTATTTGCGGATAAGCTTTAGCTGTAATTATTTGTTACACATAACGCGACACGCCACTCCTTTAACATAATGTTCATAAACATTTGGTTCATCCTTCATAGATGTTAAGCATGTACATTTGCCCAGATAATATGCCTGTGTACTATAGATACAAATATTGTTACATGAATTTAAAAATAAATAAATATAAATTGCAATTATATGTGAATTAGGCATGTAGACATGTAAGACATCGTAATGCATCTTGGGGAGTATATTTTCGCGAATACAAAATCTTAATTGCTCCCAAAAAGTTAAAAAAAAAGAGTTCGTTCTGTTTTCCAATTTATGTTAATCAAACATGAAGAGTTGAGATTGCAGACATAAAGACAATATGTGCCGGTAAGTACCATGATATCTGATACCAATTCATGACAATACATGTGCAGGTGTTATGTAGATATAACTTTAAATATTTTTAGAACTCCCGATTCTAAATTCTAATACAGAAACTGTACCTAATTTGTTTTGTAATCTATGCTAAATGTAAGTAAACTGAGAATTACAATTCCGCGGTTCGTGTACATGGATAGCTATGAATTACTTGAATACAGTTCAATACTGTACAAATCAGACATGCTGGGACGGAGCCAATGGAACCAAGTGTAAAATTCAGTATTACTACACGTTCCAGGACAACTTATGACACACTTGATAAACTTATTAATCCATAAGAATATTTTCAGCGAAATTGTGCGTTTTTGTAACACCAAAGCTAAGAATTGGAGTGCATTTTGAAATCCATCAATTCCAAAACGCGTTCGACTCGAGGTTAAGTTTAATTATGGAATTGGGAAAGTCCAGCAAAATTAACCTCTCTGTGTAAAGCCAAATGGGCATTTAGGATTACATTTTTTTTAAAAAAAAGTTTGTCTGGAATTCTTAATTATTTAGAGGAACTAGAAGAAAAAAGTCACTCATAAGAGATTCAATTCACACTTGAAAAATACGAATGATAAGGAATGATCAAATGAATGAATCTGTAGCCATATTTTTAAAAACGTATGAAATCACATTTATAAAATGTCTGACCAGCATGTTTTAGTGTGACCTAACAGCGTACACTGCCGATAATAATGTATATATCGTAACAGTCCCACAATGCGAAAGCTAAGAAAGTTGTGTGGTATTCTAATATATCAGTATGGGTTTGATGAGTAACCTTACTTATATGTTTTAAGATTGATGGATGAGACTGTGTCCGTACTTACGAATTTACCACGTCGCAGGATTTGGAAGGCACATCAATAATTTACTGGATAGATTGGAAGAGTCACTTGGATGAACTTCGGCTGACAATCCTTGATGGTTAACAAACAAATGATTTCTATCCCTGGTATTACATTAGAAATCCAACAGACTTGCGCGCTTTACGATCGCCCTGCCAGAACTTCAGCGGAGCTGCTTTTGTCAGTGCTATCTGTCCCTGGACGGCAATGGATCACAGGACTCTCTGATCACTGACATCTCCAACCCTCTTCGATTAGCTACACTCACAGGCAAGGCTGCACCGATCGGTTACTGAGTGATTAGGAAACCATCAATGACATGTAATCTAATCAACTAAACCAGGAAGGAAAGCCACCGACCATGGGTTAACCTCTGTTATGCCAAATCAGTGACCGCGAACCCGCCTCGTGTGACAGAGCAGCAGAAACTACAATTCCCAGTCGACATACTCTGCCTGTCGTCTAAATACACTCCAAACCGATTTCAATAAATAAAAACCTTTCACCCACAGTAAACTACACACCGTCCCGCAGTTCTGATCTCCTGGACATTTTACACGATCTGCCAATCATTACGTGTATGGTAGTGTCAATGTAATCAACAATTTGACAATGTAATTACACTACCCTTGGCTCAGCCTCCAATCTGGTCAGAGAAATAATGCAGCATTAATTGAAGTGATGAGAAGGGGCTTTAAATATCCTGAATGTCCACCGAAAAAGCGATTTCAATGACTTTCATTGATGCTTTATGGTAATCCCAACCTGTCAATCAGAATGATAACCATATTCCAATTGCACAGGACACCCCAACTTCCTTACGATATGACTTCAATTCTTCTTTGAATTTGAGTCAATCGGTAGAATCATGTTTCACACTTTCAACATTTATCTAGACGAAATAAGATTACTTCTTCCTCACGCTTCAATAATCCTTTTTATCCTAAAATCTGATCTGCAGTTGATAATCATACAAGATTTCTCAACCCGCTGATCCATCATCTTGATTTTATACTTCAGATTCTAGTCTGAACCCCAAATCTGTGAAAACAATTTCATAAATCTAAATTTACCCTGAAGTTCAATCTGTCAATCATAATTACTTCCCAATTCCACCTTGAACCCAATCTGTCACTCATTCCTTCAACTTTAGCTCTGTCAATTATGCTCACCTACACTAAATCCCATCTGTCCGGATCATTCAAAGTGCAGCCCTTATAGTGATATGATATTCTTCATGATTAAATAGCCCTTGAAGACACACTGTTCTATTTACAATTGTGCCATTACGATACAGTATAACAGCTGCATACAGGTGATGAAATAAATGATCTCTATACCAAGTCACACTCTGATGAAGTATGTTCATGGGCAATACTTCTAATTTCCACTTTATGATCAGTCTATTAATGAAAATTTAATAATCTGTCACTATTTTCACTTTGATGCTAAATTAAAATCAGATGTGCCTGTCATCCTAACTCCATTATATGAAACATATTTACAGACATCTATTTCCATTCCAGGGCTGCCTTACGATTTTAATAATCAAATATTCCTCACTTTATTCTAACTAAGGAATAGGAAAAAATGAAATTTTATTCTAACCTAGAGTGTGCCAAACATCTTTTCCTGTTCTGGCTAATTATAGCTTTATTCATTCAATTTCACCATGATTCAAACCCCTCTCTGTCAAATATAATCTAATATTTTCAACTTGACCTTAACCAATGTTATTCATCATAATCTTATAATCTAATGCTTTTAGTATCTTTGACTATTAATGAGATGTAATAATCCATCTTGTGTTCTACAACAGGCAGCTAATTACATCCACCATACACAGCCTATAAATGTAGCTATATGTACTATTAATTCCCAACTTTGTCAAGCAATTATAGCACATATAGGATAGTATCAAGGATAAGTTAGGAATGTTCATATGAATGCACCACAAGTTCCACTACCTTCACCATATTGATATCTATATTTCATTAATTACCATCCACTGCTCTATAAAATACATCCAAATTCTGTTTTCAGATTCAAATCATTAGAGGAGTGTCAGGCTCTGCATGCCTTTAGTGCATAATGTCAGGCAACTATTCATTTTCTTATGTTAGCAAGTGCAGTTTGAAATGTAATTGATGACAAATACAAGAAAGCAAACCAACTTATATCATGATAATTGGAAAGTTGAGGCTTTATTAAAGGATGCAACACACTCTACAAATATTTGAGGAACGTTGTCAACTGTGAGAGTAATGCTCAAATGGTTAATCATCGTCCAAACCTTGAGAGTATATTCCAAGCTGAATCACTACAAAATACTTGTAAAAATATAACATCTGGTTTATTTTCATTCTATTTAGAGTATTTTTAGGCTGAGGATAAACAAATCTAATTTCCTATCATTAATTGCAATCATTTTAGCCATTAAATATTTCTATTTGAGTCCACACTGTATAGGTATCTTCTTTTCAGGATATATACAGTAGTTTTTTTTTGCCATGTGATTTCTTTATTATTGCTTTACAGAAGAAATAGCTTTAACACCATGTCTGAGAACTGATTCAATCCAGTTCTGTACTTCGTTAAGATATGTGATGACCTCTTAAACTCTAGCAACCACATGGAACACAATGATCTCAGGTGCTTGACAAATTTAATCTGTATGTTATACAGTTATTTGAGAGAAAAGTGGAAATTTTATGTAATGAATCTATACTTAGAGTGTAATAGGGTGGGCTTAAACATGTGTATTTTGCAAGGAAAAGAAGTACTCTATTTTGAACAGAATGTTCCACCAAATATTTATTATCTGCTGATCCATTGTTTTACCTCAGTGTTTTTCTAATAATCATATCTATTCCTTTTCACCCTACCCTGTCTCCTACCCTTACATGACATATCTCACTCCTTGTCTATCTGTGGTTTGTCAACCTT